ATACTTCTTTCTTTCATTCTTTCAAAAATAGATTGAGTGGTACCTAGGGCTGAGAGGAACAGAAAGCATAGCTGGTAGAGAAAAAGTGCCGGTTTCTTTGGAGCCTGATGAAAATGTTCTAATTTGATTGTGGTGGTGGTTATGCGCTCTGAATATACTAAACATCATTGAATTTTGCACTTTAAAGGATGATTGGTATGGCATATGGACTGTGTCTCAATAAAGATGGTTACAGAAATAATAGTCTCTCTGACTTCTCCAGAGTTTGTTAGGTGACCTTCCTTCATCTACACTTGTACATGACTGTGTTAAGATATTTATTCCCACACGTTTGTATGGATTCATGGTTTATAGACTGTGACAAAGGTACTAAATTTCAGTTTTATATCTTGGCATTGTAGACACTGGAATAAATTCAAATGTTTAACTTCATACTTTGGACATCTCCACGTAAATAAATTCCTCCAGTACCTAATGACAATAAGAGGATGTGGGCCAACAGTTTAGTTCTCAAGTTGGCCAGACATACTGAGTTCTAAGAAAGAGAAAGAAGGCTAACTTTGTGTAATTTTAGGTATAAACTAATTTGCATGTTATGGACACCATTTCATGTAATTAGCCCATAAAAATGTGGCATGGCGCGTCCATTATTTTTAACACAATAGCATATGCCCATCCAAATGAAAACTTGTATGTAAATCTATATTGCCTTTCCAAAAAATGCTTATTTTGTCTCTCTAAGATGTTTTTCATTCTGTAGCTTCTATCTTTAGGCAGAGCTGCTAAAGTTAAATAAGTGTAAATATCTGTCAAACAGTTCTTGCAAGAGCACATGTATATTCTATATATTGTGAGAAAAACATAATTAATATCTAATTAGGATAATGAAAGTAATGTACACCAGATGTAGAGAAGACCTTGTGGAAAATTAGTATGAATTAGATAACATGTGTTTTGGTCAACACAAGCTTCTTGAGAAGAATTAAAACAGTGGACATGTGGAGAGACAATCAGTGGCTGTCTACTTCCTATACCTAGGGAATAATTTAATCAAGTTTGCTGTTGTAGTACTTAAGGCTTCAAGCTGTTCCATTTTTACAAATCGATAACTTGGGATTTGGGCCTTGATTTTCAGCATTCCGATATGATTGATGTTTCCTGTTGAGATGAACATTCCTCAAGTAGTTTAATAAAAGTATCTGTAGGTAGAAGAATGGAAAAGTAATGGGATGTTTTGAATACTCTAATTCAGGCTCCAATTCTTTCTTATACCATTTACTTACTATACGTCTAATGCTTATAACATTACTAATTTTCTACTCAATATTTAGTGGTTGGTTGACAACAGTCCAGTTTTCATATGCCTCCAAATGTTCATCAGCATTTCTTAAGAAACTAAAATTCATTATTTCATTGATTAACTTATAGAGCTATATTCGAAGTATTATCTATATAGTATTATAATATCTAGGTGTTTTACATACATTAGGCCAGTCATCACAATAATTTGCAAATATCACTACCATCATTGCTGTTGCTATCCTTTTCATTTTATAGAACCAAGCCATAAACAGATTAGGTAACCTGCCTACACAGACAGTGATGGGCCTGTGACAGGGGTCTCTAGGCCTTGTCAGCTTGAAAGAAATAATTCAGTTGAGAGGCACAGACAGTTTAAGCAGAAGTTTATTTAGCAAAGCAAAATAAGTACTCCAGAGAGACGGGAGAGGTCTGTCCTGAAGGAGGGTTAGCAGCCCAGTGGATTGTGCTTGTGGATTCTTAAGATATTTTTACGAATATTTTTGAGATAGGTGGGTGGCATATTCATGGGTGACCCTTTTTCCTTCATGAATCATGATTGGCTAGACTGCCCTTTAAGGCTATTTCTTCCAATAATCCTCTAGAAAAGCCTCTAAAAGAGATCCAAACCACAATATAAATGATACAATCATGTAGCAAGGGTCATTTCTGGACACAGAGCCTTCTTTCATTAGTGTATCAGTGTAGGAAAAAGGCCCTGGTACCTTAGTTTTTGACATAGTGGGAGCAACCTGTCTTCAGCATCAAGGACATTTAACCCCAGGGCATTCTGACTTTCAGACATTGCCACCAAGATACAGGTATAGTTTTCTTGGTCACCTCACATCTAACTCCTTTTTGAGACTGTTTGAGGATCCTACAATATGTTTGTCAGTTAAAATATTCCATTATTTTTAGATTGAGGCTTTGGGGCTGGAGAGATAGTTGAATGGTTACGAGCACTGGCTGCTCTTGCAGAAGACTTGGGTTCCATTCCAAGCACCCACATAGTGACTAACAGCCACCCTTAACTCTAGTTCCAGGGGATCCAATGGTCTCTGAGGACATTGCCTGCATAGATGCAGTTACATACATGCAAAAACACTCATACACATAAAATAAATATAAATTGAAGATTTATCATGAAAGCACAGGCCAGGGTTTTACATAGCTTTTCAGGTTGCACAAACAGGACAAGTCTTGGCAGTCTGTTAGATCCCCTTCTCTTAGCTCTACCTCTCACATCCATTTTCTAACAGAGACCCAGGATTTAAACACCAGCTTTCTGCCTCTGGGCCACATGCTTTTAACCACTATGTATGAGTATCCATTATGTAAATAAGAAAAGAAGAAACCACTGCATCCCTTCTCTTACAATTATGTAAAGGTATAGAATAAATGCAGTCATATATGTGGTATGTGCTTTCTTATAAATTTATTCCATTAATTTTTCAATTAATTTTCCAATTTTTATTGATGTATCACAGCAATAATCTGTACAATAGTTATTTTTTCCTATCCATTAAGAATTATTGATTCCTAACTTGTTAAAATCAACTCTTCCAATTTGCTTTTAGGAAGTTATCCTTAAGCCATACTTTAATAGTGAAATGACGATAAATAAATACAAACCTGGTCCACTAATGTTGCTTAGTAGGAAGTCTGTACATTACAGCAGTGTGGATCCAACACTGAGGAACTCATCTAGCATAGATATAAAGTTCCAGTATAAGTTAAGACAATCTGTCTAGCCTGGGTAAAACACTTGATTCTCTTTCATGGTCAAGAAGGATTTCATTGAATGTGTTCTTTAAGGCAGAGCCTGTATCTTGAAATGGGCATATGAAAAGTAGATTGATGGTGTGAAAGACACCAAAGTCTGTGATCTATCTCCTGGGTGTGGTATCAATCTTAATACTAAGAAAAATAAAGACTGCATAGATTTTCTACACCTGTACCTTTGTCTGTAGACTATATTTGTTGACTATGATTAGCCCTCTCAAATCCTGAAGTCATTTACATTTAGCTTTTTTGTATTTAAGATGCTTGTACATATTTATCACCAACATGTCTTATTTCAGGTAATTTTAAGTTGAATTCTTTTATAAATCTGCATGTGCTTCTTTATTAGCAAAATCATATTAACCCCCTCAGATAAGGAGAAAAAGAAGCCTACTCCAGTCAGTATACTTCATAAATTCCATTTCTGTCTAGTGAGGTCCTGAGCAACTGATACCACTGTCATATCTTATCTCACTTCCATGCATGTATTTTCAATTCCAGAACAACTTTTCTATCTGCCGTAGTTCCTATTTGATTGAATCCTGAATGCTTTAGAGTTAGTTTCCATTTGATTATTTCAATGCATATATTAGGAAATCATTTTTATAACGATGTGATATAATTTTAATGAAGAGATTTATTAAATAATCAAATGCAGATATAATAAAATATTTTAACTTCATGAGAAATATTCCTAAAAGAGAGAAAATGAGTGCCTTTAGAAATAAAACTTAAAAAATAAGAATGGATAAGTTGCAATAAATCTATGAGCTGTTTCTTTAGAGGCAAAGGAAAACAAATTTTAAAAACCACATATCGATAAGAACAGGCATGAGCAATTCACAGACAATGTGTGCAACTAGTGTGGAACTCTGTAATAGTCTCTGTCTGTTGCAAAAGAAGCTTCTTTGATGAGTGGTGACTGGCATACTTGTCTGTAAATATCAGGATCCATGTTTTGTACATAGTAAGAAACTACATTTGTCCAGGGATGTGACAGCCTTGGGATTTTCTCTAAGATCTAAGACCTCTTCAGCCATGTGTATTTGGCTATGTTTACAGTACCACATACGAGTTCCCTCCCATTGAGTGGGCTTTAATTAGGTAGCTGTTGATTATCCCCAAAATAAAAGTGCCAGTTCTATACCTATGTCATTTGCTACACCAGTTTTTGAGGTGGTTATTAGGCCTTGAAATTGGGTTGAACCATCAGTTGATAGGAAATTGCATAGTGCTCTCCAAAGCTATGAGAGCTAGCCTTCAAGGGAGGTGACTTCCAGGTCAGTTCCATTTCTGTTACTCCAAATCCTGTGTCTGAAGTATTTCCTGTCTTACCTTCAAGTTCCAGGAGGCAATCCAGGGCTGTGGCAATAGCCTGTGTAATTTTGGGAGTCTTTCAGACAGGTCACGACTGTTAGAACACATAATGGGGAAAGGTCAATATAACAAATAACAAAAGAAAAGTTTCATAATAAATAAATAAAATTGAATCCAAATCATACTAAGAACTAAAATGATACCTTATTGAGTGACAGTACAGGTCTATAAGAATATATGGTAATATTAAATGGAATAAAAATATGAGAATTTTAAAATTATTTAGAGTATTCAAATGTAAAAGTACCAAGTTGCAAGAATTGTAGAAAATAGCATGGAAGGGAACATGTTCAGATGCAGAGTTTTGCAATGATTTTGCATGTTAATAGTTTTTCACTTCATCCTCATGTTGTCACAAAAATATGAATCTTTCTGTAGTGCAAGAAGAATTCACACTCAAGGTTTTTGAAGCAATTCAGATTTAAAAAATGGGGATTTTCTTTGTCTTTTTTTATTATTTAGCCTTGTGGAAGAGTTTTATGTATCTTTTTCTATTAATACTTACTTTTCTTATTAATCCATATGGTTTTTAATTTTCTCAGAAAGATGTACGCGATATCCTCACTCCAGTTCAAGTTGAAGCTGCTTATCACCTTGGGCATCATGTGATCACCAAACGAAGCACAGAGGAATTCCCACCACTTCAGCCCATCCTTCAGCAGAAGAAAGAAAAAGACATGATTAGGAAAGTGGTATGAATGTTCTCTGTGTTTAAAACATTCTGTGACTTAATTAAAGAACTTTTAAAATAGGGTGAAATTAAATGTGTTTGAACTCTTTGAAAAATTTTTATGGATTTTTAATGAAAATAGATTTACAGCATGTCTTTTTCCACTTTTTTAAAAAATATTCTCTTTGGGATCTTCAGTTGAATATTTTAAAATATGCATTTAGCCACAAGAGTATCTTCCCACATATAAATATTTATATGAATGTAAAACATTCATAAATTTTCTTTTCCTTGATGCCTTGCCAGTGAAGAAAACGCAGCCCCAGAGAAGTTGCATTGGAAGCTGGCCGTACTGCCAGTCAGCTGTTCAGTGCCAACCGTGGCTAACTGCCCCCCCGCCCACTTTCTCAACCTCTTTTCCTTTCTCTAGTTGTCTGTCTCTCCATCCATGATTCCAATATGTGTTCTTTGCCCAATTCTCTTGCTGAGTTTTTGTCATTTATAAACAAAATTTTGTGTGATACACTTTCTCGTTTTAAGATTGTATTACACCTTTCACAAAAATCTCAATAACAGTTGCATTTGAAGACAAATCCTGCATTGTAACTAGTGAATTGCTCTTTTTTTCTAAATTGCTCCCAAATATTTCAGCTTCCCTGACAAAACATTTATTCTCAGGAATCCCAGTGCTGAGACCATAACTGTTCAATAACAAGGTTGTAGTTAACAGGATGCTTTGGGGCATGGTCAAAAGCATTCATTAAAGCATGCACTAATGGCAGACAGTATGCAAAAGATGAGGATATTTCAAGGTCTAATTCACATCCTGTCCAAGCAAAATTGCCTTAAGGCACATTAGTATTTTGAATTTATAATCACCACGGTCTAGTCCAGAATACTCGATCAAATGAATGTAATAACTAAAGAACATATTTCCAGACTCTTCCATGAAGGTAGTTATAGGAGTCAGGCATTTTCTTCTTACCCTTCTATTGAACTTTAGTTTTCAATGTAAAGTAATTTGCAATGTCTTCAATAATTTAAGATCCAATATTGTAAACTGCAATAGACAATATTAACAATTTGTAATCTATATTTTCATTCTTAAAAGAACCTTTCCTTCAATTAGGAGTAGCAGGAAAAAAACCTCATTGACTGAATCATTTAGAAGAATCTTTTCTTCTTTCCCAGGTGTGGGGAGTCTGTGGTCTGTGATAGACTTCTAGTCATCCTCACTTTCTGTTCATTCTCACTTTGTGTGCCTGGCTCCTTCTTTGACTTTCTAACTACCTCCTTTTCTACATTTTTCCTTTTTGTTCACCTATTTCTATCATCTTGATTTATTTTAATTTTTTATGATTTTCTTTTGTGTTGTGAATCCCTCAAGTCTGCCTAAGTTGTATATGGATACCTCACAGTATGCATGAATATTTTTTAAATGATTAGAGTTTAATAAATTCTGGAAGCTTCGTGACAGACTACCATTTAATTTTTTTCAATGTCTCAAAGTAAAGCTCCTCAGTTTCTCTATGTAGGTGTAATCTTGGATAGAATCACTGTCCATCCATGTGCCAAAATTAAGTTGTGAGGGTTGGAGAGATGACTCAGTGGTTAAGAGCACTGGGTGCTCTTGTAGAGGACCCAGGTTTGGTTCCCAGCACCCACATGGTGACTAACAACTGTCCCTAACTGCAGTTCCAGGGATCTTATGCCCTCTTCTGACCTCCACAGGTATTGAATGACATGAGCACACTTACATACAAGCAGACAATTCACTCAAACACATAAAGTAAAAGTAATAAATAAAATATCTTTAGAAACAAAAATTAAGAATTGTACTTATAAATGTCATAAAAATATACCACCATAAGATGTAAAGGAAAGCTGACTTTGAACACCTTATAATTTATACTGAAATATCTGCATAGTACCTTTAATTAACTTTCTCAAATCTTACCTAACAAATTTAAGCCAAATATCTACTAGAAGAACCGAGTTTCTTTAGTATTTGAGCCTCTTAACCAATTCTCAGATTGAACCCTTGGGGAAGTATAAATTATAATTTGCTGTATAAATTAATTTTTTTCATATATCACAGGTGATTTATTCTTTAAGTATAGAAATGTCTACTGGTTGAGTGAAAATAAATATTGTCTTATTTTATTTCCAGATAAACTTTGCAAGGTTTTGTGCCTATGAAAATTGTTCTGCTGATCTACAGGTTTCTGCAAAAATTGGATTTTTGAAGTAAGTGTAGTCTATTCTGTTTTTCGTGCAAAGCACATAAAAGGTACATGCATGTAGGCTCCATTAAGAAAGAGGCCAACCTGTGGGTGTTTGCATTATTTAAAGAATTGTAAAATAACAATGTTTTACTATGAGGCATTTATGTCTGTGCTATTTGTAATAAGTATATATTCAAGGATTACCGTTTTCCGAGAATGACAGTATATGAGCACTACGGCTTTATGAAACATACTCGAATCTTTTATTAGCAGCTCAGAAAATACTTCAGGATTTAATTGTGCCTTGGGACATCATTATTTTAGTTACAGTTATGTTTTAACACTTGTAAGTGCCTGGCAATAAAGAGTTTGACTGGAAAAATAAGCTTCACTGTACAACAGTATTTTTTTATTACTGGAAAATGGGTTATATCATTCAAACTGATATGCAAGATAATACATTTTGACAAATTTGAAAGGGAATAAACTAACTCATTTCTCTAAATTCATAGGATAGAGTAAGCAGAAAACATGTAATGTGGTTAGAATAGCATCTGGTACACAGTAGAACTGGCTAAACAGTGATGGGCGGGCTTACTCTATGATGGCTCCATCGTGATTATGTATCACATGGAGATGCCTGTATTCAAATTTTTTCATGTAAGGATCATGGGGATAGAAGAGGGATAGGAATGCAGCTGTGACAGGGCTTCGAAATGGGAAACTGACTTAGGAGGTGGGACACAAAGAAGCCACTGCAGTCTGGGACATGTTGAATTTGGTAGAGCTTTGGTATGTAGCTCTTGACTTGGAAGTCCATATCAAGATCCATTTTAAATTTTCTAAATTCCTCTACACATTTGTGACTTGTGGTATTGGACAGGGAGGAAAAACCACAAATTTACAGAAAAAAATTCTAAAAATCAAAGGATAGAAATCCCTTTGGAAATTGTAAAAAGATCTTCAGAAAACTACTACATCCTGATCACATAACTCGTGGAGAATATGAAAAAGTAGCATTCATATGAACATTCTGTAGCAAGGTGAGACAGCATAATGATGGGAAGGCGTTACTGGCCAGTTTTAAGATGAAAATCTCAGTGTGGTTGTACTCAGCTGTCAGGAGTCGTGATTAAGGAAGGGAGGGGGCAGGGATACCAGAAACAAGGTTCAACTAGAAATTTTTATCCATTTATTAAATGTGATTTATTTAATCATGTGAATCAGAGGCAGGGAAAGAATGAATTGGAGGGCAGCCTTTGGCTTAAATCCCAAAAGATGCTTTTTGGTTCCTTCTTAAAATTTCTCTGAGGCATTTGACAGCCCTTCATTTTCTCTTCTGAACCTCTTTTCCCTTCATCCCCGGGATGACACACTGCTGTCCTTCCTCCTCTAACCTTTCCTCAACTGCCTTTGCAGAATCTTTATTTCAAGCCTGTTTCACATACTACCACATTTTTCCTGAGTAAAGTTGCCTGAATCTTTGAGCTCACCTCTCCTTCCCACGCTGCTATGTCAGTCAGCATCTCTGAGCTTTGCATCCCATGCCTAGTTGCCCTTTAGACACACCCTCCTGAACCCTACACATTCAGTCTGACCAGACATTACTCAGGAATGGTGCAACCATCACCTAAATACAACGCCAAAAATCGGAGTTCAACCTTGTTCTACTCTTGTTTGAAAGCTTGACATTCAATGGATCTTAGGAATTTTCAGTGCTACCACCTCACTGTACTGCTTGTCTCTCCTCTGTCTCTTGTCTATCTTCACTGTGATTCTAGACTCCGTATCTTCCTGGATCACTGAATATTCCAGTTTCCTGAGTATTGGTCTTAGTATTCTGATTCCTTGACATTGTGCTTCTGCATGACCTGTCTCACATCAATATCTGAGGAGTCAGTAGTTCATGTTAGATTTTAAATTTGAAGTCCTTGGTCCTATTTCTCACCAGTGTTCAAGCATCTTTTTATATCAACAGAAGAATGTTGACAGTGGTTTGGCCATGCCATGCACTCTCAAGCTTGCATCTTTTCACTTCTGCTCTTCCTCCTGATGAACCTGCATTTGTCTTTAAACCTCAGCACTTCCTGCCTGTCTCCAACTCCTTACACCTAAGCTCTGCTGTACCTTTGGGCCCATGGCACTGGGTTCACTGTGTTGAGTGTCTCTCTTCATGCTACCTTGGAAGCTGCTAAAAGGCAAGTCACGTCCTCATGTTTGTATTCCTCACCCCTAACAGAGTGCATATAGCACAGTAGGTGACTAATGGGCATTTGCTAAGAAAGGAACAGGGGTTCCACCAGAAAGAGCACATAAAAGACCAGACTTACAAAGGGAGGAGTTAGCCTTAGAAAAGAGTTAAGATTATCCTTAGTTTGAGCTCAGAAGCTGGAGAAAGATGCTTGATTGCTTTCTTTCAGTAAGAGGAAGAAAAATGTAGAAAAGCTGTGGTTGGTTGCTATGAAACTTCACATCCATAAGTGGCAAGTAAGGACTTTCTATTTAGGTATTTGTTTTCTAAAAACATATAAGGGTTTTTGGTGTATCATGGGCCTTTTATAAGAGTCACACAGGTGTGTGTGGAGGGGAGATTTTCTGATGAATGCTGTTTCCATCAGCTTGTATTAGGCATTGCTGGTGTCTCCCTAATGTCTTTCACTCTGAGCCCTCTGGCCCATAAGAAAATTGGGTCTCAAAATTTATGTGAAAAAAAATTTTTTTGGTCTTTTTGAGACAGGGTCTCCCTGTAGCCCCAGCTGTCCTGGAACTCACTAGGCTGGCCTTGAACTCACAGAGATCCTCCTGCCTCTGCCTCCCAAGTGCTGGGATTAAAGGCGTGCACCACCACACCCAGCATGTGAAAAAATTTTGTTAATTTATTATTTTTATTTTTATGTGTATGAGTGTATTTCCTGCATGTGTGTAAATGCGCTTGTGCTGTGCAATGCCCAATAGAGATCAGAAAAGGGAGTCAGATCTCCTGGAATTGGAGTTATGATAGTTATTAGCCATCATGTGGGTGCTGGGAATTGAACACAGGTCCTCTACAAGAGCAGCCAATGATCTTAACTGCTGAACCGACTCTCCAGCCCCCTACTTAGCATTTTTAATTAGAAGTATTTTTCATGACTTAACTATCAAGCCTCTGTTGATTTGAAGTGGTAACTGGTTAAGTACAGGTAGTAATTCTTAGGATGTGGTCTTTGAGTAGTGTTCAGAACAGCCAGGATGCTTGATACAAAGGCAGGCTCCAAGACCCCAGAACTTTCTCCATATCCATGGGATAAAAGACAGAAACCTTCACTGTTAACAGGGTTCTCACACTGAGGAGCAGTGAAGTGGTGAAACACTTCACATGGGAAGTCAAGTTGACCTGGTTCAAGCCTTGGATCTGTCTACCAGTTTACTAGCTGGATAGGTTCTTTTAGCTTCATTCCTCGTTGTAAAATAATAGAAATTGTGCCTTCTAGATGAGTTTTTTAAATTTCAACTATGCACTTAGTACAAATACTCAGCTCAAAGCCTGGTACCTGTGAAAGGTCAACAAAGTTGATACTATTTTTGGAATGATATCATCCCCTTAGCCTCAGTTTGACTTTTCCAGTTACCTGCTTCCTTCCTAAAAGAAAGTTTTCAGAAGCAAACAATTAAAAGCTTTAAATCTTGTGTCTTTCTAAGCAGCACGATAAAATCTCATTCCGTTCTCTGCATTGTCGTCCTGTGCAGGGTATCCATGCTGTATAAGCTACCCCTATTGGTTACTCCGTAAGTGTCTCCATCATCAAACTGACTGTGGCAGCATTGCAGAGCTTGTCTTCCAGTCACTCTATCTTAATTAGCAATAAACCCAAAGTGCATGAGAATTGATGCTAGAAATTTTATAATGGTATGCTGTTGCTGTTTTACTAGTTATTAGTAATTGCTTATGTCTAATTTATAATTTAAATTTCATTGTAAGTATGAATATATAGGAAAACACATATACACTTATATGTATATATGTGTATGCATGAGTGTATGTGTGTGTATGTCTGTAGGTATATATGTATAAAATCTACAGTTGGGACATCCACATGGCATCTCGGGATGTCTTCTTTGTGGATAATGGGACTACTGTGAACTGTGGTTGGGGTACTTGCTGGTTATGCTACTCACAGTTTTTTAGTTTGGCCATAAAATAGAATATTATAAATTCTGGACATAGGTGCTTTCCATATTGAGAGTCCCTCTGGGCATGGCTGCCTGATATGTGCCAGTCTAAGGTATGGCTGGGAAGTGGTGGGCACCAGCCTTTCTGAATCAGTTATGAAAGTTACAAGCCATTTCTTTTTAAAAATATTTTACTTATTATTTTTTATTTTATGTGCATGAGTGTATTGCCTGCATGTAGCTAAGTACACCTGTGTCATGCAGTGTCCTTGGAGGACAGAAGAGGCCGTTGGATCCCCTGGAACTGGAGTTACAGACAGTTGTTAGCTGCCATATGGGTGCTGGGATTCGAACCCAGATCTTCTGCAAGAACAACCAATTTTCTTAAACACTGAGCCATCTCTCCAGCCCCATTTCTATGAGGTTAATGGTAGTTCATTTGAGGAATTTGAAAATGAGCGCTCTACTAATTGCTTTCAAACCCACAGTGAGAGCTTTTGAGTAACTATGTTGCATTTTGAGTAAGTTTTTCTATGTCAAAATATGCCACCTCTCCATGTAACTGTCCCTTCTCCCTCCTCTGGAACTGCAAATCAGGGCCATATGTTGCGTGGCTTCTTTTGGCTGGAACTCCAGCAGCACTAATGTTATTTATGTGCCCCAGGTCTACAAACCTGTTTTTGATAAATACATTTACTTAGTAAAGAACATGAGTTCCTGACACTTGCCATAATGAACTGCTCAGGAGATGATAAACAGTGCTGATTCCTATTCCTTTGCCTTTCCCTTCTGCTGAGGCCTCCTCCTGTGTGTCTAGATTCCCAGGACAATAAAGTACATCCAGATGAGTTTCCACAGCAAAATAATGGCCAA